CAAACTCCCTGTCTGCCTTCTCTTCCTTCTTGCATTCTTTAAGGGTCATCATCTTCGTCCTCCGAAAGATCTGGGCGTCTCTGTGGAGTCGTTGAGAGTCACAGGGAAGTCCAGGTAACCCCAGCTCTCCCCTCCTTCCTCTCCCCTTCTTCCCAGGCTGTTGTCCTGTCCTGTTGTGCTTCTTTTGCACTGGGTCTCTCCCAGCACCCAAAGGTGCTCCCCCCTAGTGTGCTATGCTCTTGGTTCAGGTTTAATCCTGCCTGTCCTGGGATGTTTCACAACTTTATAGCACCACAGGGCAAGTCCAGAAGGGACCACTGAACCTCCGACTTCGCCACAGCACAGCAAACTGGCAGTGAGTCCTGATTTCCTGGCAAATTTCAGCCCATAAACAAAACCCTTCGTTACCTCAGTGCCGTTGGCATCATGGCAATCCTGTTAGAGGCCAGACTGGCATCTCCACCTGCAAAATCAAATGCAGGGAGAGGAGCTGATGTGAGAACACGCCGGGAGCAGCTGGTTTGCAGCATCCTGGAGCCATCAGGGCTTGGGGCATTTGATTCCCAGCCCCTTCCGTACGTACCTCCTCCAGAGCGGGAATATGCCGGGGGCTGGGACACGGGGGGAAGCGGAAACCCTTGGTTTCTCCCAAGCAGTCCAACAGGCTCCACGTCGTCATATATCTCCTCTTCTTCCCTGGAGGATGGGAAGCTGCCATTAGGAAGCTGGACAGCAAGGAGCAGACCCAGAGTATGGGGCAGAGCGGGAGGGCAGCTCCTCGCAAGGCTCCTCAATGGGACACAGTGTCCCAGGGTGATGGGGAGCGTCACCAGGATGTGACAGCCAAGGCCAGCGTGACAAATGTCACGCACCAACCCATGGACATGATCCTGCCAGCCCGGTGCTCCGCCAAAGCTCGTCTGGAGAGCAGAGGATCACGGGTTTGGGCCCCAATTCTTGGCTCTATCTTTCCTGCTTGTGCAAATTTAAAGCACAGCCATATGGAATAAGAGCAGTCTGCACTGGTTGAGCTCGCTGGCTCAAGCTGGGCACTAAAAGGAAGCAGGAAAACCCAAGACAGCCCGGAGGGAGCACCTGAAATAAAAGTGCCAACTTGATACCTACCCCGTGAGCCCTGGAGCGCTCTGCGGTGGGAGCTGTGCTGCAGCTGATGCAGTTTTACCTGGTTTCAGGTAACCTACGGTAAAAAGAGAAATGGGAAGGAGCCACAAGAGATTATTTCAAGTCTTCTCCTCTGCTCTATAATTTGTTCTGAAATTCAGAGCCTCCCTGGGTTAGATTTTGCGCAGAGTGAGGCAGGTGATTAAACTACAGATCTGAATCCTGGGGGGATTTTCCTTCCATTTCTGTGCTCTGGAACATGGCTCATTGGGGAGCTCAGTGAGGAGCTTTAACAGCCACATCCCCGGGCACTTAATGCTCTTTTCTCCCTGGACCATTTTTAGGAAAAAGGCTCAGAGATATACTTGCAATGTGGTGAACACCCCAAATCCAGAGCTGTGCCAGAATCAGTGCAATTCCAGGGCATTTTTGTGCATTTAGGGGTGCTACTGTTTTTCTTCCCCTGAACAAGCCAGCCTTGCTTTCTCTGCAGGGAGAGCAGCACCATTCTGCCTCGCACAGTCCCACGTGGTTCAATGTGGGATGCTGAGATCCTACAGGAAGGGGAGTTGGTGAACTCAGCTCATGTTCTGCTTGGAGATGGACCCTACGGCTATGGCGAGGTTGGGAGGATCTCCCATTTGCCCTCGTTCCTCCCAGTTAAACAAACCCAGGTGTGTCTCCTGCTACGTGTATAAAAGCCCCTTGGCCATTATCACCCCTGAAACCTCCTCTCCTATTACTGTCTGCCAGGAGACCCTAACTGGGCAGTTCTTCCTCCCCAGCTTTGCCTTTTCGGGGGGATTGGGGGTTCCTGGCCGTACCTGGCTTAGTGTTCCTCCCGGCTCCTGTGGCAGGATGGCCATTCCCAGGCCGGGCAGCTGCACGGAACCTCTCCAGCTCCACGCGAGGAGGGCGCCTGGGCTTGGCCGGCCTCGCTCCCAGCGCCTTGATGTCCGGCAGAGGCTTCCTCGGAGGCCCAGCGGGACGTGTGGCCTCGTGGATGCCTCCCGCGGCGTTCCGGGAAGCGGGAACGGCCGCTCCTTTGGCTGGAACCGTTGGAGCAACCTTGTCTTTGACCGGTGGCCATTTCTGCAGGGCCGGGCTTCTCTGGGGAGGATCCGAGGTGGCTCCAATGTCCTTGTCCAACGACTCCTTTCTTCCTGGCTTTGCAGTGGCTGGGTGGAAACCGGCCTCTTGAGCAATCCCCTTCTTCAGTTGTGTCACCCACGCTGGTTTCTCGCCCAAGGGAGGAGCAGGGAAGGCCTGGCCCTCGTTCTGGCCTTTACTGCGAGACGAAGGGGCTTTGGTGACATCCGCCCACCTGCTCCAGGAGGGCTCGGGGGGTGACTCGGCCGTGGGACCCGGCGCTGGGGCCTGTCCCAGCTCCGCAGCACGAGGCGCCGCGGGCGG